TTCAAAATATACACAGTTATCTACAGTTCAAAATATACACAGTTATCTATAGTTCAAAATATACACAGTTATCTACAGTTCAAAATATACAGTTATCTACAGTTCACAATATACACAGTTATCTACAGTTCAAAATATACACAGTAATCTACAGTTCAAAATATACACAGTTATCCACAGTTCAAAATATCAAGTTATTTACAGTTCAAAATATACAGTTATCTACAGTTCAAAATATACACAGTTATCTACAGTTCAAAATATCAAGTTATTTATAGTTCAAAATATACTAAGTTTTCTACAGTTCAAAATATACACAGTTATCGACAGTTCAAAACATACATTTAGCTATACTTCAAAATATACACAGTTATCTACAGTTCAAAATATACAGTTATCTACAGTTCAAAATATACACAGTTATCTACAGTTCAAAATATACACAGTTATCTACAGTTCAAAGTATACACAGTTATCTATAGTTCAAAATATACAAGTTATCTACAGTTCAAAATATACACAGTTATCTACAGTTCAAAATATACACAGTTATCTACAGTTCAAAATATACACAGTTATCTACAGTTCAAAATATACAGTTATTTACAGTTCAAAATATTCAAAGTTATCTACAGTTCAAAATATACACAGTTATCTACAGTTCACAATATACAAAGTTATCTACAGTTCAAAATCTACAAAGTTAGCTACAGGTCAAAATATACACAGTTATCTACAGTTTAAAATATACACAGTTATCTACAGTTCAAAATATACAGTTAGCTATAGTTCAAAATCTTCACAATATACAAAGTTATCTATAGTTCAAAATATACACAGTTATCTACAGTTCACAATATACACAGTTATCTACAGTGCAAAATGTACAGTTATCTACAGTTCAAAATATACATAGTTATCTACAGTTCAAAATGTATACAGTTATCTACAGTTCACAATATTAACAATTATATACTGTTAAAAATATCAAGTTATCTACAGTTCAAAATATACACAGTTATCTACAGTTCAAAATACACATAGTTATCTACAGTTCAAAATATACACAGTTATCTACAGTTGAAAATATACACAGTTATCTACAGTTCAAAATATACACAGTTATCTACAGTTCAAAATATACAGTTATCTACAGTTCAAAATATACACAGTTATCTACAGTTCAAAATATACAGTTATCTACAGTTCAAAATATACATTTAGCTATAGCTCAAAATATACACAGTTATCTACAGTTCAAAATATACACAGTTATCTACAGTTCAAAATATACATAGTTATCTACAGTTCAAAATATACACAGTTATTTACAGTTCAAAATATACACAGTTATCTACAGTTCAAAATATACACAGTTATCTACATTTCACAATAGACAAATTTATCTACAATTCAAAATATACACAGTTATCTACAGTTCAAAGTATACACAGTTATCTCCAGTTCAAAATATACACTTAGCTATAGTTCAAAATATACACAGTTATCTACAATTCAAAATATACACAGTTATCTACAGTTCAAAGTATACATCTCCAGTTCAAAATATACAGTTATCTACAGTTCAAAATAGTTACTACAGTTATCTACAGTTCAAAATAAATATATCTACAGTTCAAAATATACACAGTTATCTACAGTTCAAAATATACATAGTTATCTACAGTTCAAAATATACACAGTTATCTACAGTTCAAAATATACAGTTATCTACAGTTCAAAATATACACAGTTATCTACAGTTCAAAATATACACAGTTATCTACAGTTCAAAGTATACACAGTTATCTACATTTCACAATAGACAAAGTTATCTACAGTTCAAAATATCAACAGTTATTTACAGTTCAAAATATACACAGTTATCTACAGTTCAAAATATACACAGTTATCTACAGTTCAAAATATACCTATTTATCTACAGTTCAAAATATACACAGTTATCTACAGTTCAAAATATACACAGTTATCTACAGTTCAAAATATACAAAGTTATCTACAGTTCAAAATATACACAGTTATCTACAGTTCAAAATATACACAGTTATTTACAGTTCAAAATATACATAGTTATTTACAGTTCAAAATATACAGTTATCTACAGTTCAAAATATACACAGTTATCTACAGTTCAAAATATCAAGTTATCTACAGTTCAAAATATACACAGTTATCTACAGTTCAAAATATACACAGTTATCTACAGTTCAAAATATACACAGTTATTAACAGTTCACAATATACAAAGTTATCTATAGTTCAAAATATACAAAGTTATCTACAGTTCAAAATATACACAGTTATCTACAGTTCAAAATATCACGTTATTTACAGTTCAAAATATTCAGTTATCTACAGTTCAAAATATACACAGTTATCTACAGTTCAAAATATACACAGTTATCTACAGTTCAAAATATACACAGTTATTTACAGTTCAAAATATACATAGTTATCTACAGTTCAAAATATACAGTTATCTACAGTTCAAAATATACATAGTTATCTACAGTTTAAAATATACATAGTTATTTACCATACACAATATACAAAGTTATTTACAGTTCAAAATATACATAGTTATCTACAATTCAAAATGTATACAGTTATCTACAGTTCACAATATTAACAATTATATACTGTTAAAAATATCAAGTTATTTACAGTTCAAAATATAAAAAAGTTATCTACAGTTCAAAATATACACAGTTATCTACAGTTCAAAATATCAAGTTATCTACAGTTCAAAATATCAAGTTATTTACAGTTCAAAATATAGTTATCTACAGTTCAAAATATACACAGTTATCTACAGTTCAAAATATACACAGTTATCTACAGTTCAAAATATACACAGTTATCTACAGTTCAAAATATACACAGTTATCTACAGTTCAAAATATACACAGTTATCTACAGTTCAAAATATACAAGTTATCTACAGTTCAAAATATACACAGTTATACAGTTCAAAATATACAGTTCAGTTATCTACAGTTCAAAATATACACAGTTATCTACAGTTCAAATTATACACAGTTATCTACAGTTCAAAATATACAAAGTTATCTACAGTTCAAAATATACACTTATCTATAGTTCAAAATATACAAAGTTATCTACAGTTTAAAACATACAGTTAGCTATAGTTCAAAATATACACAGTTATCTACAGTTCAAAATATACAGTTATCTACAGTTCAAAATATACACCGTTATCTATAGTTCACAATATACACGGTTATTTACAGTTCAAAATATACCGTTATCTACAGTTCAAAATATACACAGTTATCTACAGTTCAAAATATACACAGTTATCTTAATTTCACAATATACAAAGTTATCTACAGTTCAAAATATACACAGTTATCTACAGTTCAAAATATACACAGTTATCTACAGTTCAAAATATACACAGTTATTTACAGTTCAAAATATACAGTTATCTACAGTTTAAAATATACACAATAATCTACAGTTCAAAATATACACAGTTATCTACAGTTCAAAATATCTACACGTGCAACTTCGATCTAGATATAGTCACGGTAAAATCCTAGTAAAGCGAACACTTATCTACATGTGTGACCTCGATCTATTTATAGTTAGGGAAATCTCTAATAAAGCGAACATTTATTTACATGTGTGACTTCGATCTATTTATAGTTAGGGAAAACTCTAGTATAGCGAACATTTATCTACACGTGTGACTTCGATCTATTTATAGTTAGGGAAATCTCTAATAAAGCGAACATTAATCTGCACGTGTGACTTCGATCTATTTATAGATAGGGAAAACTCTAATAAAGCGAACATTTATCTGCACGTGTGACTTCGATCTATTTATAGATAGGGAAAACTCTAATAAAGCGAACATTAATCTGCACGTGTGACTTCGATCTATTTATAGTTAGGGAAATCTCTAATAAAGCGAACATTAATCTGCACGTGTGACTTCGATCTACATATAGTCACAGTTAAATCCTAGTATAACGAACATTTATCTACACGTGTGACTTCAATCTATTTATAGTTAGGGAAATCTCTAATAAAGCGAACATTAATCTGCACGTGTGACTTCGATCTATTTATAGATAGGGAAAACTCTAATAAAGCGAACATTAATCTGCACGTGTGACTTCGATCTATTTATAGATAGGGAAAACTCTAATAAAGCGAACATTAATCTACACGTGTGACTTCAATCTATATATAGTCATGGTAAAGTCCTAGTATAACGAACATTTATCTACACGTGTGACTTCAATCTAATTATAGTCACGGTAAAATCCTAGTATAACGAACATTTATCTACACGTGTGACTTCGATCTAAATATAGTCATGGTAAAGTCCTAGTATAACGAACATTTATCTACACGTGTGACTTCGATCTATTTATAGTCACGGTAAAATCCTAGTATAACGAACATTTATCTACACGTGTGACTTCGATCTATTTATAGTCACGGTAAAATCCTAGTATAACGAACATTTATCTACACGTGTGACTTCAATCTATTTATAGTCACGGTAAAATCCTAGTATAACGAACATTTATCTACACGTGTGACTTCGATCTACATATAGTCACGGTAAAATCCTAGTATAACGAACATTTATCTACACGTGTGACTTCGATCTATTTATAGTCACGGTAAAATCCTAGTATAACGAACATTTATCTACACGTGTGACTTCAATCTAAATATATTCACGGTAAAATCCTAGTATAACGAACATTTATCTACACGTGTGACTTCAATCTAAATATAGTCACGGTAAAATCCAAGTATAACGAGCATTTGTCTACACGTGTGACTCCGGTCTATTTATTGTTAGGGAAATCTCTAATAAAGCGAACATTTTTTTACATGTAATTAGTATATCTGTGACTTAACAGCTGGGGTATAGGACAAGCATATTAACAATATTGATTTTGTGATCAACATATTCGATTGATTCATTTTAATTGTAGGTGTCATTATGGGACTCAGCATTTTTGGCCCAGCTATAGCATTTGGACTCGGAGGTTTTTTTACCAAAATCTACATCACACTTGAAGGTAAATAAATGTATTACGACATTTTTCAAGGTCTGTGATATATTGTAAATCTATTACAGGGCAGTCGTAACGACTGTACTTTATGATGTATCGTGAGGAATGTCACAAGATAAAACGGATAGGCAAAAACAAGTCTTTGAAGGTTTTGTAGTGCGTTAAACACCAACAAAACGTGTTGTTTCTATTTGAATGCATGGTGACTTTTGATGTCTCAATGCGTGTAGTGGTATTGGAAACGGACCCTCACCAAGATCAGCTGTTCGCCTGTTTGGCTATTTATAGCCTGAACCACATTTTACACCACAAAAAGACCCAACAATACATATATACCTCCAAGGAAAGGATGTACTTAATTCATGAAGTAACTGTTATTTTATAAATACATATTTATATGATAAAAATATGTAAAACAAGGAAGATGCAAATAAAATGTTTTAAATGACAACATCGAACTATTTCAAGCAGAAATTAAATCGCTTCTTTTCTGTTTTGGAAGAAAAATCCTACAATCAACACTGTCCAATTGACCTCGTCCATACTAGGGAAGTTTCTTACACGCTAGTTATACTACGATAAGGCCTTAATTCCAATACATCTCTAACAAGTCATTGAAATATTTTCGATTATTCTGTCGAAGATATTAGTGTCATAAAGATTATTACAGATATTTGAAAGGGTAACTGATTTCAAACATAATTCTAAAACCGGAAGTTTGTATTTTAGTTTCATTTTCAGGAGACCTACCACCACGGACTTCCGAGATCGAGTTTTTGACATGATCTATCAAATAGACGTTTGAACTATTTTTCATTTATGATAGAAAATTATAAATATGATGAAAATAGATTAACTGAAAAGTTTGTGAAAACTGTATTACGAAACAACACTGGGTAGTATAGAGTTAGCGCTTTATGATAAATTGTAGTGGTAAGTGACAAACCCTATGTGATTTTCTTCTGATATCATGGTGTATAGCTGTCGAGTGGAATAACTTCGAAGCTGTAAAATCAGCAGCAAGAATTTATCAACTCCTTTTCCCTGGAAATAAAACCTATTGTGCAGTCGGTGTTGATTGCATAAGGAAAATGAAGGCCTGATTGGTGAATTTTGATGCAATTAATAATGAATACAGATGTAATTGGAAGGAGCCATAAAACACAGTTCCTAGCTACTGGGGTTGGAATCAGGCCTATAGCTTGTATTCTTGTTTCGGGTTTTCACTTCCACCAACACCAGGCTGTAGTAACTCTTTGGTCTCTAGTCAAACGCTCTAACACTGTAGAGAAATCCCCACAAACTAGGGTTAGAAACACAGCTTGTGGTGTTTACCCTTTGTATTGAGACCTATTAATGAGCAGTGCTAAAACAAGCTATGAACTGGTGAAATTTGATTGGTCACTTCAGTGGACCATAACCTGCACTACACTGCAACAGGTGATGATTTCAGGGTCACACTTGACTGGACATGATCACCGTAATGATCATATGAAGATCTTGTCATGAGTGTATGTCTTGAACCTACATATAAAATATATATGATCAGTGTGACTCATCACTGAAGATTATGTAATTGTCGGGCTTAATAGACACATTACAATGCTATTGGTGTACCGCAATGCACTCTGGGAAATATTGGAATTATGGGAAGTATACTTTAACTTAAATGATCTGGATATTTTATCGTATATGATACTGTACTATGTATTTCTAACCCTAACACGAGATATTTGTTATATAAGATACTGTACTATGTATTTCTAACCCTAACCCTAACACGAGATATTTGTTATATATGATATTGTACCATGTATTTCTAACCCTAACCCCAACACGAGATATTTGTTATATATGATACTGTACTATGTATTTCTAACCCTAACCCCAACACGAGATATTTGTTATATATGATATTGTACCATGTATTTCTAACCCTAACCCCAACACGAGATATTTGTTATATATGATACTGTACTATGTATTTCTAACCCTAACCCCAACACGAGATATTTGTTATATATGATACTGTACTACGTATTTCTAACCCTAACCCCAACACGAGATATGTGTTATTTATGATACTGTACTATGTATTTCTAACCCTAACCCTAACACGAGATATTTGTTATATATGATATTGTACCATGTATTTCTAACCCTAACCCCAACACGAGATATTTCTTATATATGATACTGTACTATGTATTTCTAACCCTAACCCCAACACGAGATATTTGTTATATATGATACGGTACTATGTATTTCTAACCCTAACCCCAACACGAGATATTTGTTATATATGATACTGTACTATGTATTTCTAACCCTAACCCCAACACGAGATATATTGTTATATATGATATTTCTTATATATGTACCATGTATTTCTAACCCTAACCCCAACACGTTATATAGATATTTGTTATATATGATACGGTACTATGTATTTCTAACCCTAACCCCAACACGAGATATTTGTTATATATGATACTGTACTATGTATTTCTAACCCTAACCCCAACACGAGATATTTGTTATATATGATACTGTACTATGTATTTCTAACCCTAACCCCAACACGAGATATTTGTTATATATGATACGAGATATTTGTTATATATGTATGTACTATAACCCTAACCCCAACACGAGATATTTGTTATATATGATACGGTACTATGTATTTCTAACCCTAACCCAAGATATTTTATTATGGCTTTTCACTAACTTGTGAAAAGACCTATTGTTTTTGTTCGGTTTCTTCTTATTATTATTATTCTTATTATTCTTATTATTCTTCTTCAAATTTTGTGGGTTCGTAATCTTTTAAATTGTAAAAGCTAGACATACAATCTATTCATTTATTTGTTGATACGTATATGAACTTGTCGATGCCGATATTTTAAGTAGGTCAAAAATTCAATATGGCCGCCATGACGTCATAACTTAAAAACTTTAAAACGTCAATATCTCGAAAATCTTTGATTATACAGAGTTTGTGCAATTTTTTGTCATGACATGTTATCAGAAAATATGTCAAATAAAAAAGCTCGCTGTTGGGTAAATTTTTCAAAATTTAACAAATTTTAATTTTTTTTTCAATTTTGAACTTCGTTGAATTTTTTTATTCAGATCGATGCAGAACGTCCTTCCGATGAAGTTAGTGTTTTCAGTTCTTCTGAAACATTTACCATTTCCGCTGTACGCCATTTTGAAAATTTCTTGTGATCTTTTAAAAATGCCGACAAATAGGAAAACTCGTTCTAGATCAATATTGATGGGCTATATTTTATGAAATTGTTACTGAGAAGATTTCCCCAGATGTCTTCTACCATTTAGTGACATATTCAAATTCATCGGAAAAACAAAATGGCCGCCATGACGTCATATCCGATTTTACCTAAAATGCCGTAACTCAAGAACTGTTTCAGCTAGTGACCTCAGTTTTAACCATATTATGTAAAATAATACGAAAACACTTTTCACAAGAGAAAAACTGGCATCAAAGGTCAACTTCCGGTCTTCGGTAGGGGTCAAAGTTCAAAAGTGTTATTTTAAGTTACCAATTTTGACAAACTTCTTCTCAAGTTCTGCATAGCCTTGAGTCTTGATATTTCATGTGTAAGATGTCTGATCAATTATCTATCAAATTTGTTAATATGAATGACCTTGACCCACTTTCAAGGTCACAGGGGTCAATTATGTAAAAATCGATAAATGGTAATTTCTCCATTGTTAAGCTGCCAAAAGTCTTCAACTTTGGACATAAATATTCTGTGGACATTTCCTGTCGAGTGATATAAGAGAAACGTACCTCAAAATTCAACTTTCGGTTTGCGGTAGGGGGTCAAAGTTGAAAATTGCTATTAAGGGTACCAATCTTTGAAAAACTTCTTTTCAAGTTCTGAAAGGCCTAGAGGCTCTATATTTCACACATATGAAGCATATATAACTGGCAACAAAGTTTGATAATATAAATGACCTTGACACACTTTCAAGGTCACAGATGTCAATTAACTAAAAATCGTTAAATGGAAGTTTCTCAATTTTTAGAAGGCATACAATAATAAAATTGATTATAAACCTTCTGTGGAGACTTCCTAGTGATTGTCATAAGGAAAACTTCCCTCAAAATGTCAAAGTTCAAATATACAAAATAGGGTACCAGTGTTCAGTTTCACAAGGGCTAGAGAACTAATATTGGGGTTATTTTGATCATCATATGTTACATTATAAGGCTTGCAAATATGAATAACCTTGACCGACATTCAAGGTCACAGGGGTCAAATATGTTTGAACCTTTAAAAAGTGTATTTCTTCGTTATTATGTAGTTATATCTCCTTAACGTTTCAAGATTCAAAGTTCATCTTTGGATATGTTGTAGAGACTAACAAACAAGGAATCTTTCTCATATATTGTTATCAGGATAAATGTCAACTTCCGGTCAACTTGTCGCCAAAGAAGTGAAAAGCCCGCCAAATTGTTAAGAACAATTTCTAGTTATATATTGTAATTGAAAGTGAAGTATAAGAGCTATGTCCCTTGAATATGACTTATAGCTTATTACATGTTTGTTAATTTGTTCATCTAATGATTTTTGTCGATTAATACAAATGTTTATACTTCTGTAGTAAGGTATGGAAAGGTATTCTGTACTATGTTAATATTTTAGTATGCATCATTTATGGTTAATCAAATACCAATGATTGTCACACCTAATGAAAGTGTTTATTATACGTGTAAATAGAAAGTACTTTGAATGATTGTGATCGCTGTTATACTGACTGTTGGTGAAGCTTTCAAAGATACACAGACGACGAAAGACTTCTTACAAAGTACATAACACAGTTTTTTGCAACAGGTGGTGGGTGAGAGTCTGAAATAGTGACTTTTCCGAAACCGCTTTTCAAGTTGGTGCGAGGGCTGTTTAGTTCTCACCAAAGCTTGGACTTTTGACTGTGGGTAACTAGCTATAGGGTTAGGTTAGAGCCCGAGCTAGGAACACGAGCAAGGATTGACTTAGTAGGTAGGACAAACTAGGGCTTAGTCAGGATCGACTAAGTGGTTTTGCTCGGCGACTAGTTCAGTAGCTGGAACTAGGGTTAGGTGAAGTCACTGGGTGTCGAGCTTGTACTCAAGCTCACATGCTAGTCAGAACAGTCTGTGTCGGGACAGCAGTCCATGTGAATACTATTTCGTTCGTTAGTTTTATTGTTAACTCAGGTAGAGTTTGCTATTACACGCTATATGTATGTATCGGCATTTGTTATTATCTCTGCAAGGAATCAGAGACTTACCCGCCGTGTGCAAATCTAGGCTGCACGTTACAATATGACACTGTATTATGTAATACTAACCCTTACATTTGTCCTTGGCTTTCTCTAGTTATGCTCTTACTTTGGATAACACCTTTTGTGATTTCTACAAACTATTAACATAAACTGTACATGTAAGAGTTCAAACTTGTCTGAAGTTGCATATTATTCTTTGCCTTTTTGTTTTCTAGACGTTAACATCAGTCCGCGCGACCCCCGCTGGGTTGGGGCTTGGTGGCTCGGCTTCCTTTTGTTTGGATTTCTCGCCATCTTGGCGGGTATTCCAGTTTTCTGTTTCCCGCGCAGGTTCAAACCGAAACCAGCTGATCATTCTGACGGGAAATCAGGACTTCTTGAAAATGTGAAAGGTAACGTACATCAAAACACGCCTATATTTTATAGTGCTTAGATTGACTGTATCATCACGTAGAGTGAATCTTAGAAAAGGAAATACAATTAAACATTCCTATATTGCATGGAAACACATAACGAGACGAGGTCGTTTAGAAAGTGTCTTTATGTCATGATGTATTCTATAGATACAACAGAAGATAATAGGAAGGTTTCTGTATTTATGCAGAATAAGCAATGTAGGGGGTTGTAGATCTAGTGACTTTGCAACTGAATTCATAAAGAAGACAATCAGGATACAGACAAAACAAGCGATGATCATTCCCAATCTTTTCTTACAAGTATCCAGTGTCTGAAGACACAACACGGAGAGGTCTATCGGAAAGTTTCTGTATTTTTGATACAGACAGCACAGATGGTATTAATTCTGTACATTTCTTTATTATAGATATCATTAAAGGCCTATGGCTGCTGGTGACGAACCGACTGTACATGCTAGTGGTGGTGGCAAACTGTCTGATATTGTTTTATGTCGGAGGTGTCTTGGCCTTCTTACCGAAGTACATGGAAACACAGTTCCAGATTCCGGCTTGGTTCGCAAACATAGTGATGGGTGAGAGCGCTATATAATGTATGTCTGGGTAGACTTCTTTGTTATCCTACATTATTAGGTGTCTCCGAATCGGAGTTTATTTAAGGGTAGGTATTCTTTGAGTCGACGAAACAGCTTTATTCGTTGGTCAACAAAATAATCACAGATTAAAAAGTCATGACATATCTTCAACAACACCAGAGCAACACGAACAAAGTTCGTTAATAGATCGATTAACTCTGGAAATGTTTTACAGGTATTATCTGTGTGATTGCTGTATATTATACAGGTATTATCTGTGTGATTGCTGTATATTATATAGGTATTATCTGTGTGATTGCTGTATTATACAGGTATTATCTGTGTGATTGCTGTATATTATACAGGTATTATCTGTGTGATTGTTGTGTATTATACAGGTATTATCTGTGTGATTGCTGTATATTATACAGGTATTATCTGTGTGATTGCTGTGTATTATACAGGTATTATCTGTGTGATTGCTGTATATTATACAGGTATTATCTGTGTGATTGCTGTGTATTTTACAGGTATTATCTGTGTGATTGCTGTATATCATACAGGTATTATCTGTGTGATTGGTGTGTATTATACAGGTATTATCTGTGTGATTGGTGTGTATTATACAGGTATTATCTGTGTGATTGGTGTATATTATACAGGTATTATCGGTGTGATTGCTGTATATTCTATAGGTATTATCTGTGTGATTGCTGTGTATTATACAGGTATTATCTGTGTGATTGCTGTATATTATACAGGTATTATCTGTGTGATTGCTGTATATTATACAGGTATTATCGGTGTGATTGCTGTGTATTTTACAGGTATTATCTGTGTGATTGCTGTATATCATACAGGTATTATCTGTGTGATTGGTGTGTATTATACAGGTATTATCTGTGTGATTGGTGTATATTATACAGGTATTATCTGTGTGATTGCTGTATATTCTATAGGTATTATCTGTGTGATTGATGTGTATTATACAGGTATTGATTGCTGTGTATTTTATAGGTATTATCTGTGTGATTGCTGTATGATACAGGTATTATCTGTGTGATTGCTGTATTATACAGGTATTATCTGTGTGATTGCTGTGTATTATACAGGTATTATCTGTGTGATTGCTGTGTATTATACAGGTATTATCTGTGTGATTGCTGTATATTATACAGGTATTATCTGTGTGATTGCTGTATATTATACAGGTATTATCTGTGTGATTGCTGTGTATTATGTATTATGATTGCTGTGTATATAGGTATTATCTGTGTGTGCTGTATATTATGATTGCTGTGTATTATACAGGTATTATCTGTGTGATTGTGTGATTGTGTATATTATACAGGTATTATCTGTTTGATTGCTGTATATTATATAGGTATTATCTGTGTGATTGCGGTATTATACAGGTATTATCTGTGTGATTGCTGTATATTATACAGGTATTATCTGTGTGATTGCTGTATTATACAGGTATTATCTGTGTGATTGCTGTATATTATACAGGTATTATCTCTGTGATTGCTGTATATTTTATAGGTATTATCTGTGTGATTGCTGTATATTATACAGGTATTATCGGTGTGATTACTGTATATTATATAGGTATTATCTGTGTGATTGCTGTATATTATACAGGTATTATCTGTGTGATTGCTGTATATTATATAGGTATAATCTGTGTGATTGCTGTATATTATACAGGTATTATGTCAGTGATTGCTGTGTATTATACAGGTATTATCTGTGTGATTGCTGTATATTATACAGGTATTATCTGTGTGATTGCTGTATATTATATAGGTATTATCTGTGTGATTGGTGTATATTATACAGGTATTATCTGTGTGATTGCTCTGTATTATACAGGTATCATCTGTGTGATTGCTGTATATTATAAAGGTATTATCGGTGTAATTGCTGTGTATTATACAGGTATTATCGGTGTGATTGCTGTATATTATACCGGTATTATCTGTGTGATTGCTGTATATTATACAGGTATTATCGGTGTGATTGCTGTGTATTATACAGGTATTATCTGTGTGATTGCTGTATTTTATACAGGTATTATCTGTGTGATTGCTGTATATTATACAGGTATTATCTGTGTGATTGCTGTGTATTATACAGGTATTATCTGTGTGATTGCTGTGTATTTTACAGGTATTATCTGTGTGATTGCTGTATATCATACAGGTATTATCTGTGTGATTGGTGTGTATTATACAGGTATTATCTGTGTGATTGCGTGATTGCTCTGTATTTTACAGGTATTATCTGTGTGATTGTTGTGTATTTTACAGGTATTATCTGTGTGATTGCTGTGTATTATATTGCTGTGTATTATACAGGTATTATCTGTGTGATTGGTATATATTATACAGGTATTATCTGTGTGATTGCTGTGTATTATACAGGTACATCTGTGTGATGTATCAGATATTATCGGTGTGATTGTTGTGTATTATACAGGTATTATCTGTGTGATTGCTGTGTATTATACAGGTATTATCTGTGTGATTGCTGTATATTATACAGGTATTATCGGTGTGATTGCTGTATATTCTATAGGTATTATCTGTGTGATTGATGTGTATTATACAGGTATTATCGGTGTGATTGCTGTGTATTATACAGGTATTATCTGTGTGATTGCTGTATATTATACAGGTATTATCTGTGTGATTGCTGTATATTATAAAGGTATTATCGGTGTAATTGTGATTGATGTGTATTATAAAGGTATTATCTGTGTGATTGCTGTGTATTATACAGGTATTATCTGTGTGTGTGTATATTGTATTGTGTATTTATACAGGTATTATCTGTGTGTGTATTATTGTGATTGCTGTATATTATACAGGTATTATCTGTGTGATTGCTGTATATTATACAGATATTATCTGTGTGATTGCTGTGTACTATACAAGTATTATCGGTGTGATTGTTGTGTATTGTACAGATATTATCTGTGTGATTGCTGTATATTATACAGGTATTATCTGTGTGATTATACAGGTATTATGTGTGATTGCTGTATATTATACAGGTATTATCTGTGTGATTGCTGTATATTATACAGGTATTATCTGTGTGATTGCTGTGTATTTTACAGGTATTATCTGTGTGATTGCTGTATATTATACAGATATTATCTGTGTGATTGCTGTGTACTATACAAGTATTATCGGTGTGATTGTTGTGTATTATACAGATATTATCTGTGTGATTGTTGTGTATTATACAGGTATTATCTGTGTGATTGCTGTATATTATACAGGTATTATCTGTGTGATTGTTGTATATGATACAGGTATTACCGGTGTGATAGGTATTTTCGGTGTGATTGCTCTGTATTATACAGGTATTGTCTGTGTGATTGTTGTGTATTATACAGGTATTATCTGTGTGATTGCTGTGTATTTTACAGGTATTATCGGTGTGTTAGTTGTGTATTATACAGGTATTGTGTGTGTTATTGCTGTATATTATACAGGTATTATCGGTGTGATTGCTGTATATTATACAGGTATTATCTGTGTGATTGCTGTATATTATACAGGTATTATCTGTGTGATTGCTGTATATTATACAGGTATTATCGGTGTGATTGCTGTGTATTATACAGGTATTATCTGTGTGATTGCTGTGTATTTTACAGGTATTATCTGTGTGATTGCTGTATATTATACAGGTATTATCTGTGTGATTGCTGTGTATTATACAGGTATTATCTGTGTGATTGCTGTATATTATACAGGTATTATCTGTGTGATTGCTGTATATTATACAGGTATTATCTGTGTGATTGCTGTATATTATACAGGTATTATCTGTGTGATTACAGGTATTATCTGTGTGATTGCTGTATATTATACAGGTATTATCGGTGTGATTGCTGTGTATTATACAGGTATTATCTGTGTGATTGCTGTGTATTATACAGGTATTATCTGTGTGATTGCTGTATATTATACAGGTATTATCTGTGTGATTGCTGTATATTATACAGGTATTATCGGTGTGATTGCTGTATATTATACAGGTATTATCGGTGTGATTGCTGTGTATTATACAGGTATTATCTGTGTGATTGCTGTGTATTATACAGGTATTATCTGTGTGATTGTTGTGTATTATACAGGTATTATCGGTGTGATTGCTGTATATTATACAGGTATTATCGGTGTGATTGCTGTATATTATATAGGTATTATCTGTGTGATTGCTGTGTATTATACAGGTATTATCGGTGTGATTGCTGTGTATTAAACAGGTATTATCTGTGTGATTGCTCTGTATTATACAGGTATCATCTGTGTGATTGCTGTATATTATATAGGTATTATCTGTGTGATTGCTGTATATTATACAGGTATTATCTGTGTGATTGCTGTATATTATATAGGTATTATCTGTGTGATTGCTGTATTATACAGGTATTATCTGTGTGATTGCTGTATATTATACATTGTGTGTATTATACAGGTATTATCTGTGTGATTGCTGTATATTATACAGGTATTATCGGTGTGATTGCTGTGTATTATACAGGTATTATCTGTGTGATTGCTGTGTATTATACAGGTATTATCTGTGTGATTGCTGTATATTATACAGGTATTATCGGTGTGATTGCTGTGTATTATACAGGTATTATCTGTGTGATTGCTGTGTATTATACAGGTATTATCTGTGTGATTGCTGTGTATTATACAGGTATTATCTGTGTGATTGCTGTGTATTATACAGGTATTATCTGTGTGATTGCTGTATATTATACAGGTATTATCTGTGTGATTGCTGTATATTATACAGGTATTATCTGTGTGATTGCTGTGTATTATACAGGTATTATCTGTGTGATTGCTGTGTATTATACAGGTATTATCTGTGTGATTGCTGTATATTATATAGGTATTATCTGTGTGATTGCTGTATGATACAGGTATTATCTGTGTGATTGCTGTATTATACAGGTATTATCTGTGTGATTGCTGTATATTATACAGGTATTATCTGTGTGATTGCTGTATATTATACAGGTATTATCTGTGTGATTGCTGTATATTATACAGGTATTATCGGTGTGATTGCTGTGTATTATACAGGTATTATCTGTGTGATTGCTGTGTATTATACAGGTATTATCTGTGTGATTGGTGTATATTATACTATTATCTGTGTGATTGCTGTATATTATATAGGTATTATCTGTGTGATTGCTGTATATTATACAGGTATTATCGGTGTGATTGCTGTATATTATACAGGTATTATCTGTGTGATTGCTGTATATTATACCGGTATTATCTGTGTGATTGCTGTATATTATACAGGTATTATCTGTGTGATTGCTGTGTATTATACAGGTATTATCGGTGTGATTGCTGTGTATTATACAGGTATTATCTGTGTGATTGCTGTATATTATACAGGTATTATCTGTGTGATTGCTGTATATTATACAGGTATTATCTGTGTGATTGCTGTATATTATACAGGTATTATCTGTGTGATTGCTGTGTATTATACAGGTATTATCTGTGTGATTGCTGTATATTATACAGGTATTATCTGTGTGATTGCTGTATATTATATAGGTATTAACTGTGTGATTGGTGTATATTATACAGGTATTATCTGTGTGATTGCTGTGTATTATACAGGTATTATCTGTGTGATTGCTGTATATTATACAGGTATTATCTGTGTGATTGCTGTGTATTATACAGGTATTATCTGTGTGATTGCTGTGTATTATACAGGTATTATCTGTGTGATTGCTGTATATTATACAGGTATTATCTGTGTGATTGCTGTATATTATACAGGTATTATCGGTGTGATTGCTGTGTATTATACAGGTATTATCTGTGTGATTGCTGTATATTATACAGGTATTATCTGTGTGATTGCTGTATATTATACAGGTATTATCGGTGTGATTGCTGTGTATTATACAGGTATTATCTGTGTGATTGCTCTGTATTATACAGGTATCATCTGTGTGATTGCTGTATATTATACAGGTATTATCTGTGTGATTGCTGTATATTATACAGGTATTATCTGTGTGATTGCTGTATATTATACAGGTATTATCTGTGTGATTGTTGTGTATTATACAGGTATTATCGGTGTGATTGCTGTATATTATACAGGTATTATCGTTGTAATTGCTCTATATTATATAGGTATTTTCTGTGTGATTGTTGTTTATTGTATAGGTATTATCTGTGTGATTGCTGTATTATACAGGTATTATCTGTGTGATTGCTGTATATTATACAGGTTTCATCGGTGTGATTGTTGTGTATTATACAGGTATTATCTGTGTGATTGCTGTATATTATACAGGTATTATCTGTGTGATTGCTGTATATTATACAGGTATTATCTGTGTGATTGCTGTGTATTATACAGGTATTATCTGTGTGATTGCTGTATATTATACAGGTATTATCTGTGTGATTGCTGTATATTATACAGGTATTATCGGTGTGATTGCTGTATATTATATAGGTATTATCTGTGTGATTGCTGTATATTATACAGGTATTATCTGTGTGATTGCTGTATATTATACAGGTATTATCTGTGTGATTGGTGTGTAATATACAGGTATTATCTGTGTGATTGCTGTATATTATACAGGTATTATCAGTGTGATTGCTGTGTATTATACAGGTATTATCTGTGTGATTGCTGTATATTCTATAGGTATTATCTGTGTGATTGCTGTATATTATACAGGTATTATCTGTGTGATTGCTGTGTATTATACAGGTATTATCTGTGTGATTGCTGTATATTATACAGGTATTATCGGTGTGATTGCTGTGTATTATACAGGTATTATCTGTGTGATTGCTGTGTATTTTACAGGTATTATCTGTGTGATTGCTGTATATCATACAGGTATTATCTGTGTGATTGGTGTGTATTATACAGGTATTATCTGTGTGATTGGTGTATATTATACAGGTATTATCGGTGTGATTGCTGTATATTCTATAGGTATTATCTGTGTGATTGCTGTATATTATACAGGTATTATCTGTGTGATTGCTGTGTATTATACAGGTATTATCTGTGTGATTGCTGTATTATACAGGTATTATCTGTGTGATTGCTGTGTATTATACAGGTATTACCGGTGTGATTGTTGTGTATTATACAGGTATTATCTGTGTGATTGCTGTATTATACAGGTATTATCTGTGTGATTGCTGTGTATTATACAGGTATTATCTGTGTGATTGCTGTATATTATACAGGTATTATCTGTGTGATTGCTGTCTATTATACAGGTATTATCTGTGTGATTGCTGTGTATTATACATCTGTGTGATTGCTGTAGGTATTATCTGTGTGATTGTTGTGTATTATACAGGTATTATCTGTGTGATTGCTGTATATTATACAGGTATTATCTGTGTGATTGTTGTATATGATACAGGTATTACCGGTGTGATTGTTGTGTAATATACAGGTATTGTCTGTGTGATTGCTGTATATTATACCGGTATTATCGGTGTGATTGCTGTGTATTATACAGGTATTATCTGTGTGATTGCTGTATATTATACAGGTATTATCTGTGTGATTGCTGTATATTATACAGGTATTATCTGTGTGATTGCTGTATTATACAGGTATTATCTGTGTGATTGCTGTATATTATACAGGTATTATCTGTGTGATTGCTGTATATTATACAGGTATTACCGGTGTGATTGTTGTGTATTATACAGGTATTGTCTGTGTGATTGCTGTATATTATACCGGTATTATCGGTGTGATTGCTGTGTATTATACAGGTATTGTGTGTGTTATTGCTGTATATTATACAGGTATTATCGGTGTGATTGCTGTGTATTATACAGGTATTATCTGTGTGATTGCTGTATATTATACAGGTATTATCTGTGTGATTGCTGTATATTATACAGGTATTATCTGTGTGATTGCTGTATATTATACAGGTATTATCGGTGTGATTGCTGTGTATTATACAGGTATTATCTGTGTGATTGCTGTATATTATACAGGTATTATCTGTGTGATTGCTGTATATTATACAGGTATTATCTGTGTGATTGCTGTGTATTATACAGGTATTATCTGTGTGATTGCTGTATATTATACAGGTATTATCTGTGTGATTGCTGTATTATACAGGTATTATATGTGTGATTGCTGTGTATTATACAGGTATTATCTGTGTGATTGCTGTATTATACAGGTATTATCTGTGTGATTGCTGTGTATTATACAGGTATTATCTGTGTGATTGCTGTGTATTATACAGGTATTATCTGTGTGATTGCTGTATGATACAGGTATTATCTGTGTGATTGCTGTATTATACAGGTATTATCTGTGTGATTGCTGTGTATTATACAGGTATTATCTGTGTGATTGCTGTATTTTATACAGGTATTATCTGTGTGATTGCTGTATATTATACAGGTATTTTCGGTGTGATTGCTGTGTATTATACAGGTATTATCTGTGTGATTGTTGTGTATTATACAGGTATTATCTGTGTGATTGCTGTGTATTTTACAGGTATTATCGGTGTGATTGCTGTATATTATACAGGTATTATCTGTGTGATTGCTGTGTATTTTACAGGTATTATCTGTGTGATTGGTGTGTAATATATAGGTATTATCCGTGTGATTGTTTTATATTATACAGGTATTATCTGTGTGATTGCTGTATATTTTACAGGTATTATCGGTGTGCTCGCTGCGTCACTGGGGAGTTTCCTGGGCGGATGCATCATTTCCAAACTCAAAATGACCCCAGTCGGATGTGCCAAACTTATCTTCGGAATTTCTGCTTTCTCTGTCTTGATTCCTATTGCCGGATATTTCTTCGGTTGTAACAACCCGGAGATCGTAGGATTCGACGTAAAGATGTAAGATATGCATTATCTCGAAATTATGTAAGTTGAAGAGACCGGTTAATTCGAATTAGTATTGACCACAAGGCATCAACCTCACCTGTACCATAATCTGCACCTCGCAAAAAAATAGTGTTGTAAATTTGTCTGTCAGTTTCCGCCATCTTGCACATTGAGAAGAGGAGCCACAAATTAAAGAGTTTGTACGTGTGACTTTTTTAGAACAGCTCTTCGATAAATTCAACCTCAAATGAAAAAAAAAATCGACATAAGAAAGGGATGATTTGGTCACAGGTACGCATGGAATAGTTTGTTGGAAGATCTTGTACCAAACTTGGCGAAGAAGTTGTCAATCAGAAACTCAGTCATCCGTATATTTTTTTCTTTGATTTGCTCGATTTTTTCGCGAAATATCGCTCAAAATCAAATATTTGTACTTCTTAGAGAAAAAAACTGTTAACAAGAGAACGAAGTCATTCCTTTACTTTAAAATGAGATATGATGGTGTAGAGAGTAGAAAATGTTAATTGAAACAGAACTATATTTAGAAGATAATGCTGAAAACAGCCAAAAGCTCATTCGAGAATATTTTCATGATTTGTTTCTTTTGAGCTTGAAAAAACAACTATGAATAACAAAATATGTCAAAACACAAAAGTTAAAGATATTATCTTGGAATTCATTTTCGTGTTGAATTATTTCTTACTTCCAGTCAAACATCAGAGGAAAACGTCCTTAAATGCATTATTGATCACGCAACCATCTTTCCAGTGATGACTATCAAAAACGAATGCGCGCGTGAACGGAATTGCTAATTTGACTGGTTTTTGTAGTCATTGTGATGTCAGCACAAACACGTGCACATGCACAGTCGGTCGACATCAAGTACACGTACAATAAACCACGCAAGAAAACTCTTAGTCATATTTAAACGTAAAGCCTAATTTTGTTTTCTCCGATTAGTTACAATGTTCAGAATTGTACAGAAAGTTGCCTGTGTGATGACACCGATTATTTCCCAGTTTGTGGATCAGACGGAAGGAACTACTTTTCGCCTTGTCACGCCGGGTGTACGGATCAACAAGGCCAGGTAATTCATATTGATGAAACATGTCGCAATTTTGTATCAAAGCTGTATTCGAGGAAAACGATATGATTATGCTAAAATGATATAAATGTACGAACCTCAACAGCCAATCAGATTAGAATAAGCAATTTCTATAGAGAAAATATTCATATGTATTTGAGTTAGTGTTGTAACACTTTTGTTGTTAAATGTCCACGAAACTAATCTCAAAAGAAAATCAATTGAATTATCAAATAAAAACAATCAATAAGTATATATATATATACAATAAATCAAAGAAAAGATGAAATAGGCATCATTACTACATTTCGATACATAAAGATATCTATATAGGTGTGTTAATAAATTGTAGATGTTTGAGGGATGTTCCTGCGTGGGTGTAAATGGAACAGCCAATCCAGGTCTATGTGATACAGACTGTAAGATGTTAGCACCATACATGGCACTCGCCTGCTTTGGTGGCCTCGTGGCAACAATGGCAGGAATGCCGAGCATCATATTCAGCATCAGGTATGAAAATGTTAATCATGTTTGACAATGTAATGATCAAGGATGACAATGATACAGTATCTGTTGTCATAACTTCTAAAAGTAGGGATGTGGGCTTATTACAGGACCGTGATACAGTATCTGTTGTCATAACATCTCAAAGTAGGGAGATGGGCTTATTACAGGATCATGATATAATATCTGTTGTTATAACATCTCAAAGTAGGGAGGTGGGCTTATTACACGACAATGATACAGTATATGTTGTCATATCATCTCAAAGTAGGGAGCTGGGCTTATTACAGGACCCTGTCACAGTATATGTTGTTATAACCTCTAAAAGTAAGGAGATTGGCTTATTACAGGACCCTGTCACAGTATATGTTTTAAAACCTCTAAAAGTAGGGAGCTGGGCTTATTACAGGACCCTGTCACAGTATATGTTTTAAAACCTCTAAAAGTAAGGAGGTGGGCTTATTACAGGACCCTGTCACAGTATATGTTGTAATAACCTCTAAAAGAAGGGAGGTGGGCTTATTACAGGACCATGATACAGTTTATGTTGTTATAACCTCATAAAGTAGGGAGGTGGGCGTATTACAGGACTATGATACAGTATGTTGTCATAACCTCTCAAAGTATTGAGTTGGGCTTATTACACGACAATGATACAGTATCTATTGTTATAACCTCTAAAAGTAAGGAGGTGGGCTTATTACAGGATCATGATACAGTTTATGTTGCCATAACCTTTCAAATAAAGAGGTGGGCTTATTACAGGACCATGTCACTATATCTGTTGTCAAAACCTCAATGTAAGGAGGTGAATTAGTTATGACAGTACGACAATCGGGTACGACAATGTTATAATCAGGTATGACAATGTTACAATCAGGTATGACAATGTTACAATCAGGAATGACAATGTTGTAATCAGGTTTGACAATGTTACAATCAGATATGACAATGTTACAATCAGGTATGACAATGTTGTAATTAGGTATGACAATGTTACAATCAGGTATGACAATGTTATAATCAGGTATGGCGATGTTATAATCAGGTATGACAATGTTGTAATCAGGTTTGACAATGTTATAATCAGATATGACAATGTTATAATCAGGTTTGACAATGTTACAATCAGATATGACAATGTTACAATCAGGTATGACAATGTTGTAATTAGGTATGACAATGTTACAATCAGGTATGACAATGTTATAATCAGGTATGGCGATGTTATAATCAGGTATGACAATGTTACAATCAGGTATGACAATGTTGTAATCAGGTTTGACAATGTTATAATCGGGTATGACAATGTTATAAATAGGTATTACATTGTTACAAAAAGGTATGACAATGTTATAATCAGGTATGGCAATGTTATAATCAGATGTGACAATGTTGTTATTCGGTTTGACAATGTTGTAATCAGATATGACAATGTTATGATTAGGTATTACATTGTTACAATCAGGTATGACAATGTTATAGTCAGGTATGGCGATGTTATAATCAGGTATGACAATGTTATAATCAGGTATGGCAATATTACAATAAGGTATGACAATGTTATAATTTGATAGTTTATTGTTACAATCAGGTATGACAATGTTATAATCAGATGTGACAATGTTGTTATTCGGTTTGACAATGTTGTAATCAGATATGACAATGTTATGATTAGGTATTACATTGTTACAATCAGGTATGACAATGTTATAGTCAGGTATGGCGATGTTATAATCAGGTATGACAATGTTATAATCAGGTATGGCAATATTACAATAAGGTATGACAATGTTATAATTTGATAGTTTATTGTTACAATCAGGTATGACAATGTTATAATCAGGTATGGCAATATTACAATAAGGTATGACAATGTTATAATTTGATAGTTTATTGCTACAATCAGGTATGGCAATGTTACAATCAGGTATGACAATATTATAATCAGGTATGGCAAAGTAACAATGAATTATGACATTGTTTCAATCAGTTATGACATTCAGGTATTATATTGTGACAATCAGGTATGACAATGTTATAATTAGGTATGGCAATGTTATTATCAGGTATGACAATCAGGTATTACATTGTTACAATCAGGTATGGCAATGTTACAATTAAGTATGACAATGTTATAATCAGGTATGGCATTGTTACAATCAGGTATGACAATCAGGTATTACATTGTTACAATCAGGTATGGCAATGTTACAATTAAATATGACAATGTTATAATGAGGTATGACAATGTTACAATCAGGTGTAACAATGTTATAATCGGGTTTGACAATGCTATAATCAGGTATGACAATGTTATAATTAGGTAATACTTTGTTACAATTAGGTATGACAATGTAATAATCAGGTATGACAATGTTATACTCAGGTATGGCACTGTTACAATCAGGTATGACAATATTATAATCATGTATGCCAATGTTATAATCAGGTGTGACAATGTGTTTAATCAAATTTGACAATGCTATAATCAGGTGTAACAATGTTATAATTGGGTATGACAATAAGGTATTACATTGTTACAATCAGGTATGGCAATGTTACAATTAAATATGACAATGTTATAATAAGGTATTGCATTGTTACAATCAGGTATGACAATTTTATAATCAGCTATGACAATTTTATAATCAGGTATGGCAATGTTACAATCAGGTATGAGAATTTTATAATCAGGTGTGACAATGTTATAATCAGGTATGACAATGTCACAATGAGGTATGACAATGTTATAAATAGGTATGGCAATGTTATTATCAGGTATGACAATCAGGTATTACATTGTTACAATCAGGTATGGCAATGTTACAATTAAGTATGACAATGTTATAATCAGGTATGGCATTGTTACAATCAGGTATGACAATCAGGTATTACATTGTTACAATCAGGTATGGCAATGTTACAATTAAATATGACAATGTTATAATGACGTATGACAATGTTACAATCAGGTGTAACAATGTTATAATCGGGTTTGACAATGCTATAATCAGGTATGACAATGTTATAATTAGGTAATACTTTGTTACAATTAGGTATGACAATGTAATAATCAGGTATGACAATGTTATACTCAGGTATGGCAATGTTACAATCAGGTATGACAATATTATAATCATGTATGCCAATGTTATAATCAGGTGTGACAATGTGTTTAATCAAATTTGACAATGCTATAATCAGGTGTAACAATGTTATAATCGGGTATGACAATAAGGTATTACATTGTTACAATCAGGTATGGCAATGTTACAATTAAGTATGACAATGTTATAATAAGGTATTGCATTGTTACAATCAGGTATGACAATTTTATAATCAGCTATGACAATTTTATAATCAGGTATGGCAATGTTACAATCAGGTATGGGAATTTTATAATCAGGTGTGACAATGTTATAATCAGGTATGACAATGTCACAATGAGGTATGACAATGTTATAAATAGGTATGGCAATGTTATTATCAGGTATGACAATCAGGTATTACATTGTTATAATCAGGTATGGCATTGTTACAATCAGGTATGACAATCAGGTATTACATTGTTACAATCAGGTATGGCAATGTTACAATTAAATATGACAATGTTATAATGAGGTATGACAATGTTACAATCAGGTGTAACAATGTTATAATCGGGTTTAACAATGCTATAATCAGGTATGACAATGTTATAATTAGGTAATACTTTGTTACAATTAGGTATGACAATGTAATAATCAGGTATGACAATGTTATACTCAGGTATGGCAATGTTACAATCAGGTATGACAATATTATAATCATGTATGCCAATGTTATAATCAGGTGTGACAATGTGTTTAATCAAATTTGACAATGCTATAATCAGGTGTAACAATGTTATAATCGGGTATGACAATAAGGTATTACATTGTTACAATCAGGTATGGCAATGTTACAATTAAGTATGACAATGTTATAATAAGGTATTGCATTGTTACAATCAGGTATGACAATTTTATAATCAGCTATGACAATTTTATAATCAGGTATGGCAATGTTACAATCAGGTATGAGAATTTTATAATCAGGTGTGACAATGTTATAATCAGGTATGACAATGTCACAATGAGGTATGACAATGTTATAAATAGGTATGGCAATGTTATTGTCAGGTATGACAATCAGGTATTACATTGTTACAATCAGGTATCAGAATGTTACAATCATGTATGACAATGTTATAGATAGGTATGGCAATGTTATTGTCAGGTATGACAATCAGATAATACATTGTTACAATCAGGTATGAGAATTTTATAATCAGGTGTGGCAATGTTATAATTATGTATTACATTCTTACAATAAGGTATGGCAATTTTATAATCAGGTATGACGATGTTTCAATCAGGTATGACAATGTTATAATTAAGTATTACATTTTTACAATCAGGTATGACAATGGTGTAATTAGGTATTACATTGTTATAATCAGGTATGATAATGTTACATTAAGTTGTGACAATGTTATAATCAGATATGCCAATATTATAATCACGTATGACAATGTTATAATCAGGCATGACAATGTTACAATTAAGAATGACGATGTTACCATCAGTTTTGACCTATCATAAATAGGTTTGATAATGTTATAATTAGGTATGGCAATGTTATTGTCAGGTAGGACAATCAGGTATTACATTGTTACAATCAGGTATGACATTCATGTATTACATTGTTACAATCAGGTATATCAATGTTATTGTCAGGTATGACGATGTTAAAACCAGGTATTACATTGTTACAATCAGGTATTACAATGTTATAATTAGGTTCCGTTGTTAAACGATAGCATTTGTTGGTTAACGTCAAATAACGCAGTAAATCAATCGCAAACTTACAGATTGATAAAATATACCAGACTATTTTTAAAAAATGTTTGTTGTATCAAGAGGTAGTTAAAGATTTTATTTATTTATTTACCTATTTGTTTCTAGGTGCGTCACGGATAAACAGAAGTCGTTAGCAGTTGGGTTGTCAACATTTCTTCAAACACTTCTCGGTGAGCTAGACCGGGCTTATTCCGACAAAGCATTTATATGATTACATGTATACGGGGAAATCAGATCTGGTGATTTGACTTCGCAGATTTAGATAATTAGTCAATCATAGTTTATGTGAAAAAAAATTAACAGAAAACAAAATAAACCACTGTAACTCACGAATGGATGATAGATCGAAAGAAAGTAAAGGAAATCTGAATGGAAAAATCTAAATGACTTTAAGTACAGTCACTTATAATACACATCTTTCAAATTGATCGTCATCCTTTTGCCAATTTTCGTCGCTAGAAACAAGTTGTCAAAAGAGTGGTATTTATACATGTGTACGTATATGACTAGAGAACTTTACTGAACCACTGAGTAGTTTTTTTCATTTTTCGGAAAACAGTTTACCAAATAAAAGTAACCGGGAGTGGATCGGAATTCCTAGTCCTTATCGGAGACATGTAGGGATAAACCTCCGAAAAGATTAAATGCTATACAATAAAACTTCTAAATCCTGAAAAGGGTGATTGACTTCTGAATATTTTAACTTTTGAATAATTGCCTAATGAGTTTCTCTGGTAAGATTACATTATAGTGCGTTCATGATAACCGGAAGTCAATTCTTTTTCTACCTTTTCAGGTTGGTTTCCTGGACCGATAGTTATGGGAATGGTTACTGATACTTCCTGTTTGACCTGGAGCTCTTCCTGTCGCGGTAAAGGAGCATGTTCCATGTACGATATTGAAGATTTCCGGTTAAAGCGTCACGTGATCGAACTTGTTGTGAAGGTAGTTGTGCTGATCATGCACCTAGCTATGTACGTCATTGCAAAGCGTACCGACTGGAGCCAATATGAAGAGGAAACGATTACTCCAAAACCGGAAGCGGAAATGCTGATGATTACTCATGGGAAATCGAAATCCGATTGGACAGAATACAAAGATCCGATTATTAAAAAGACATGATTAAATAACAAAAAGAAAGGGTAAAACAACCCAAAAAACAAAACAAGTTAGATGTACAGAGGAACCGGAATGATACATATTTATAAATATACACGCATTACAATAGACTATGTAAAAGTAGATCAAGAATGGCTCGGGGTGTATTTTCTTAGTTATGAAAATTATAATTAATATGTAAGACATTAAACTTTATATGAACAATTTTAAAGGGAGAAAACTGTCAAGAAATAAGCAATAAAAGATATCATTACTATAACTTATTATATACATATACCTGTTGATGCTTATTTCAGTGGCAATACTCAGTTACATTCCTCATACTGTATTATTCATATGATCATTGCAAATCAATATTAATCCGAATACAACACATGGATATTTGGATTTCAAATTTTGATAATTTTATTAATCAATAGCTGTGAATGAGCTTACATAGTTTCCTAGACATTGCACATACTTTATGATAGGACCTACTTGTTGATCAAGGAAACATTAATTTGGTGTTGTATTCCCTGAAATCGTTCTGCTGTACAAGAGTTAACGTACTTACCTAGATACATCCACCTATGTTCACAATGAAATCGTTCTGCTGTACAAGAGTTAACGTACTTACCTAGATACACCATCTATGTTCACAATGAAATTATTCTGCTGTACAAGAGTTAACGTACTTACATAGATACATCCACCTCTGTTCACAATGAAATTGTTCTGCTGTACAAGAGTTATCGTACTTACCTAGATATGTTCACAATGAAGTTCTATGGACAAATATCATATATTCGTTTTCATAATCATTGTCCATTACAATGGTGTTATGTATTTTTGAGCCAATAAGAAGACTTATATAGAGTTTTTTTATATCTTTTTACTTGCCTGTATATTTGTTATGTTATATTGAATCCTGTAAATAATAAACAATAACGGATAGCATTGTCCAATTGTTTATCAAGCCACGGTTCATTGAAACAGGTCAACATCAACAGTAAGGGGAGATAAATCCACTGTAAACGACTTTAAAAACCATGTGTTTTCTTTTACCATTTGTTTCAACGATATATACATCTTAGTGTTGTGAGAGAAACAGCAAAGCCCCGAATATGACGCAATGTGTATTTCTCACGTGGAGTGAATATATATGATGTAACCACATTACACTTGAATCACTCACAAAATAATAAAAAAGAGTACACCTTTACTATACAGGTGAATGAGTGTCACGTGATATTCAGTGTCATCCCATAGCATATATCTACATAGAACACAAATATACAATTTTGAGCCTTTACGGTTTGGAGATTTTTCTCTTTCATGATTACAAATACCAACAATGAAAATACGGACATGTTTTAAAATGAATTTCAGTTCAATCTGAAAAACGTGGGCAACATGTAGAGATAATTTAACGTAATTATGAGATAGAATAGTGTTACACAATAATTACTCCGACACGTGGTATTTGAGTTTAATTTTATTTCTTGCCGTGGTTACACAAGATCCTGTTCAAGTCCACCCCCATCTCCCGCTTAAGTTCCTACTCCCCTCTACAGGCCCGCACTGCCTTGTCTAGCTCCCGAGCTCTAGTCTCCAACCACTCTCCTGCTCTTCTCCCGCTACTCTCTCTCTCTACTGTCTATTGTCTTAGTATTAATAATACCAAAACACTTCAATTCTAATTAAGCCCCGATTGGATGACAATACCCCACCCCGCGAGGCATATAATTACCAAGGCACGTGCAAGCTCATGTAACCTTATCTCAGGGATCCCGATGTACTTTACCGTCCAGTATGCTATCTACTCTGATCGACGATCCCTCCCCAGCTATCTCGCTACAGTGGCTAGGTGCGTGAGGCACACCCTTGATATCTAAAGGCTACCAAACTGCCTGTCCATCACAGGACGTTAACCCTGGTCCAGTGCCTGACTTTTGACACCTGTTGTTATTGTTTAAATTTCTGTTTTAAATTATATTCTCTAAATTGAACCTTTTGTTATCTTTAAATTTCTGTTTTAAAAAATTCTATAATGAGTTTCTAAACAGTTTGATGTGTAAGTAAGCAGGATTTCACATTGATATCTGTATAAGTCTAATATCAACAGCATCCAGTCATCTCTTGGTACCTATCTGGGGTTTGATTGTAGGTGAAGCAATATCTGCCCATATAACCTCACAGGTGATTTTTTTATTGGCATGAGAAAATATAAATAAATACACACATTCAATATAGAACCAGTACATGTTGACAAAATATATGATACTTAATATCCGATGTAGATTTTTTTATTCCTATAGAATATGAACCGTTTATTTCTGACTATTAAAGACAATATTTTAGTATGTGGATAGCGTCAGAGTTTCCAATGTATGACTTTATGAAAATGGATACATGACGAATATTATGAATAATCCTCATCGATAGCTAATAACTCTTAATCATGAATCAGCTTTATATAAACAGTACAACATACACCAAATATTTAGTATGTCAAATTCATAGAGAGCTGAAGTGAAAAACAATCGCGGATCGAAATTTATGAAAATGATAAATAATGCATTCCTTATAAAGTTTAAGCGTGTGTATTTATTTATTTATTTATCTATTTTATTTGTTTTACGTAGTTATTTATCGTTTCACTAATTAATTAATTAATTAATTATTTTTGGAGGGTTTACTCAGCTTCTCAGAAATGAAGATCTCTAGGCATTTACAAATACAAAACAAATTACCAGCACCATTTGCCACAAAATTAGATAAGATACAGTAGAGCTAAACAACGAATTAAACTACGTCATACTCATTTTCCGTCCTCTTAGGACTCGTCAGTGATGCTGCATCATACTAATGTTGCGTCCTTCTAGGACTCATCAGTGATGCTACGTCATACACTTTTTCGTCCTCCTAGGACTCGTCAATAAGGTTACACCTTACCCATGTTCGTCCTCCTAGGACTCGTCAGTGATGCTACATCATACCCATGTTCGTCCTCCTCGGACTCGTCAGTGATGCTACATCATATCCATGTTCGTCCTCCTAGGACTCGTCAGTGATGCTACATCATACCCATGTTCGTCCTCCTCGGACTCGTCAGTGATGCTACATCATATCCATGTTCGTCCTCCTCGGACTCGTCAGGTGATGCTACATCATACCCATGTTCGTCCTCCTCGGACTCGTCAGTGATGCTACATCATACTCATGTTCGTCCTCCTCGGACTCGTCAGTGATGCTACATCATACCCATGTTCGTCCTCCTCGGACTCGTCAGTGATGCTACATCATACCCATGTTCGTCCTCCTCGGACTCGTCAGTGATGCTACATCATACCCATGTTCGTCCTCCTCGGACTCGTCAGTGATGCTTGGAGCCTAATAGTTAAATGTAAGAGTCGACTGAGGAAAATAAAAAGTAATCCAAATAAGATATCAAAATAAATAAATATAATAGAAAGTACGATTTCATTGCGATCACTCATACATATGTCAAGTATTGATTTCATTCAGTCAATAAATACTGCGTTAATCTTGTATACCACAACATTATCAGTAGCTTATAGGATTAAAAACCCATTGTATTCTGTTTACAAAAAATAAATAAAAAAAATAAAGAAATACCAAGTTTGATGTGATTGATCCTTTTTCTTTTGCATAAAAAAATCCTTTTTGTAGCTCCAGTTAATGTAACACGTGTTTACAATATTTGAGGTTGGCAAAGACAGGTTCCGCTTCTTCCGATAGGTTCGACCTGAAAATCTTCCACGGACCAAACCCGTGATTAAGTTTGCTGTTGAAAACATTTTTCTTGGAATTCGCGATAGCGTTTGACTTGTACGATATCCTCAGCCGGAAGTATATTGTCTTCACACACTTTTGTTTTCAAAAAAACATAATCCATCAATATAAAGCGTACAGGATCTCTCCTTTTACATATCTCATGTGTTCGGATGTTACATACAATCTTAAAAAAATACACAGATGCTTAGGACGAAAAACTTTTTATAAGTATTTCAAAAACCCTCCAACATTTTAAAAACAAACATTGGAGGACCGATTTCTTTTCATGTTGTTAGTGAGAGCAATATTTTGATTTATTTCATATGTACGGCGACATTGTATATCAATAACCATTAAATAGGCACCGGGAGACAACAATGTCCAGCATGTACTTCATCATAGCATTCAGAACCGGAATAACATTATCTTGTACAAATATTATGTCATCTGTGTACAAATACCAATAGATAGCAAAAGAAATACGATGATACAAAAGTATAGATAATTTCAACGTTCAACCTTCTTTTTTCTTCTTTTTTCTTCTTCCTCTTTTTTCTTCTTCTTTTTCTTCTTTTGTTTTTTGTTTTTCTTCTGTTTTTTTCTTCTTTTTATTTCTTTTTTTTTCTTCTTTTTTTCTTCTTTTGTTTTTCTTCTTTTTTTTCTTCTTTTGTTTTTCTTCTTTTTTTTTTTTTTTTCTTCTTTTGTTTTTCTTCTGTTTTTTTCTTCTTTTTATTTCTTTTTTTTTTCTTTTTTTTTCTTCTTTTGTTTTTATTCTTTTTTTTCTTCTTTTTTTTTCTTCTTTTTTTCTTCTTTTTTTTTTCTTCTTTTTTTTCTTCTTTTGCTTTTCTTCTTTTGCTTTTCTTCTTTTTTTTTCTTCTTTTTATTTCTTTTTTTTTTTTTTTTTTTTTCTTTTTTTTTCTTCTTTTGCTTTTCTTCTTTTTTTTTCTTCTTTTTGTTTTCTTCTTTTTTTCTTCTTTTTTTTTCTTCTTTTGCTTTTCTTTTTTTTTTTCTTCTTTTTGTTTTCTTCTCTTTTTCTTCTTTTTTTTCTTCTTTTGCTTTTCTTTTCTTTTTTTTTCTTTTTTATTTCTTTTTTTTTCTTTTTTTTTTTTTTTTTTTTCTTCTTTTTTTCTTCTTTTTTTTTCTTCTTTTGCTTTTCTTCTTTTTTTTCTTTTTTTTTTTTCTTTTTTTCTTCTTTTTTTTTTTTCTTCTTTTGCTTTTCTTCTTTT